CCATAACCACACCCCTATCCACCGACACCCGCATCCATAACCACACCCTTACCTACCGACACCCGCACCAACACCCACACCCCTATCCACTGACACCCGCATCCATAACCACACCCTTACCCACCGACACCCGCATCCATAAGCATACCCCTATTCACCGACAACCGGATCCACACTCACACTCACACCCACACCCTCATTGTCTTAAAATATATCACATTCATTTACAATGGATTTATCATCACAAAAACGCTTAGTACGTCCACGACGATAAAATAACTTACAAAGTTCTTCTCTTTGTGTGTCTTCATAAACTGTTAAACCATAATGATTAATCTAATTATAAAAAAGACGAACAATTTCAGCATAAAGTGAAATACTTCTATTCCATTTGAATTGATCTAAATCTTCAAAGAGATACGATCTAATAGTTCTTTCACTCGTTGAATATTGCCATTTGGATATACCTCATAAAATTCACTTACTTCACCTAGAAAATAAAATAGCAAAAAGATTTTTATTTTTCGGCTCGTCTGATATCGAAAATATCACAAAATGCTTTGTATCCAATTTCTATTATTCATGACATCTTCTTCAATGACTTGATCAATGGTTATGCATTTCTTCCAATAGAATTTCTTTGCTTTTCTGTCATTAATTGACAGGAGCGCAAAATATTTCACAACATTCTCAGACGTCATATTTGACTCAGAAATGAATGATTCACATTGGAATATGATGGTCATTCCTTTAAAATTCACATGGTGACCTACAGAGACCGAATTGATCTATTTAAAAGAACTAGTGAATCTTCGAATGAATCAACAAGAATTAATATCGATTAAACAACAAGACTACACTTCCCCATCAATGATTATTGATGATTTTCTTTATCATGGTGATATAAAGCATGCAATGAATAAAATCTTACTTGAAGAACTCGGTATTCAACATATCATTAACGCATCCGATTGTAAATTGGATCAAGATATTCTTGATCGATGTCATGTTCTATGGGTGAATGTAGAAGATGATACATACTCTGATATTGCTGAATATTTTAAGATGACAAATGAATTTTTACAATCTTGTAAAGCAAATGGTGAAAAAGTATTGGTTCATTGTCAAATGGGTGTATCTCGTTCATCTTCAATTGTTCTCGCCTATTTGATAAAGTATAAAACGTTTTCTTTCAGCTTTGAAAATCATTATCATCATATTCTTTATCTATAGATATCATCATGATTCTCTTGATAAAGCTTATAATTATTTAGTCGAACGAAGACATTGTGCTGAACCTAATCTTGGTTTTCTCTTACAACTGATTCGATACGAAAAAGAATTACACAAGAAAAATGAAAGTATACCCGAAACGTCTGCAATTTTGATTAACTCTACTAACAAACTGGTAACGATAAAAAATAATGTTTTGTCTGAAGAAATACCATCAAAATACCATTCTCAACAATCGCAACCATTATATCGCAGACTATGTTGCTTACCTATCAATACCCGGTCATCCCACCTGAGTTTCAAATAGCGCCTTCGAAAGTCAAACCTTACACCTTTTTTCATGAAAATTTTATGAAAAATTAATGAAATGTTTTGAAAGAAAAAGTTGCGATATGTATGACCGATCACATAACATCTCTTTCGAACATATCTCTCTCTATCTTGGTCTCCACATTAAAAAAGAGAATAAAAGGACAAGAATATTTTCACAATATGATTAAGTTTTTACTTATTTAAAGTTTCTATCTCTTTTATTTATCTCAACAAACAATGACATTAATTATTAAAAATAAAAAAAAATGCTTGGAATCATTTTTTTTTCTTTTAATATTTCTTTCTCTTCTGATTATTTTTGTTTATTCAATAATTTATTCATCAAAATTCAATCATAATCAAATTCTTATCCTCGTGATTTTATTATAACATTAATTCGAAGTACCAGTCAATTAATATTTCGTATTATTAATGTTCATATTTTCTCTATCGATTGTACAAAAAAAAGCAATTTTAGTGGAAAAAGCTTTCGCAAACATAAAAAAAATTGTATGATCACAACTAATTCTAAACAAGTAAAGAATACGACTACAAATGAGAGAACACAGCAAAAGTAAACATATTTTCCAAGAATAAAAATCTTTTAGTTTTCTTCATCTTTCCCAATGAGTCTCTAAATATAAAAAATAACGGATGATATATAATATCTGATGTTGTTGTGATGTTTGTTTACGAAAGTACCACCAATCCTATTTCTTGTCTTTATTTACAGCAGCTGCATTAGTCATTTTAACCATTTTGTCAAATGAAGATGCTTTCTTTTCAACATCTTTAATAACACCAACAGCTACAGTTTGACGCATATCTTTCACAACAAAGTGACCCAATGGTGGATAATCAGCATACTTTTCAACACACATTGGGTTTGTTGGAATTAATTTAACTATACCAGTATCACCTGATTTAAGATATTTTGGAGCTTCTTCAATAACTTGACCGGATCGACGATCAATCTTTGAGATTAATTCAGCAAATTTACAGGCAATATGAGATGTGTGACAATCAATTACTGGTGTATAGCCTTGACTAATTTGTCCAGGATGATTAAGTACAATTACCTACAAAAATAAATAATAGACTTTGAAATATAAATGAATAATTTTAGAAACTGACTTGAGCTATAAAACTTAGAGCTTCTTGAGCTGGAACATTTTTTGAATCAGAACAAACGAAACCACGTCGAAGATCTTTAGCGCTAACACCATGAACATTGAAACTAACATTACAACCAGGTAGAGCTTCTATAAATAAAAGGAAATAATAAATATATGTGAATAGACTAAGACAGTATATACCTTCAAGTTCATTGTAGTGCATTTCAATGGATCGAACTTCTGCTGTTAAGTTCGATGATGGAGCAAAATTAACGATCATATTGGGTTTGAGTATACCAGTTTCAACTCGACCAACAAGTACTGTATCGATATCACCGAGTTTGTGCACATCTTGAATTGGTATTCGAAGTGGTCTGTCTATTGGAAGTTGTGGAGGAATAATAGCGTCCAAAGCTTCGAGCAAAGTCTTGCCTGTAGCATTACCTTCTTTACGAACAACTGACCATCCTTTATACCAAGGCATATTTTCTGATGCAGTAATCATATTATCACCATACCATCCCGAAATAGGTACAAAAGGTACAGTTTCAGGTTGATAACCAATTTTTTTAATATATGTTGATACCTCACTTTTGATTTCATTAAAACGTTCTTCAGAAAATTGTGGTTCTGTTGTATCCATTTTATTTACAATGACAATCATTTGTCTTACACCTAATGTATATGCAAGAAGAGCATGTTCACGTGTTTGACCGTACTTGCTAAAACCAGCTTCGAATTCACCCAAACCAGCTGCTACAACTAATATTGCACAATCAGCCTATGAGGAAACTCATATATGTATAATTTTGTAGAAGAAAACAAAAGAACTTACTTGTGAAGTACGTGTAATCATATTTTTGATATAATCTCGATAACCTGATGCATCAGCGATCGTAACATTGTATGCATTTGTTTCGAATTTACAAAGTGAAATATCAATAGTAATACCACGTTCTCGTGAAGGTTTCACTTTATCCATAATCCAAGCATATTTAAATGAACCTTTACCCATCTATCAATTATACGAAAATAAATATATCTATGATTCGAATAAAATCTGAATCTATACTTCGGCAATTTCTTTTTCGAATTTTTCGATCGTTCTCTTATCGATACCACCACATTTGTAGAGTAAATGACCAGATAATGTTGATTTACCAGAATCAACATGTCCCATAATAACAATATTAATAAGTGATTTTTCTTTACTCATGATTGTAGATCACAGCTTTGCCGAAAATAGAATTGAATGAAATAATGTGTAATAGAAACGAATACTTTTCGTCTATGTTTATGTACATGATTCATGTAATTACGTAAGATTTTTTACGATGACGATATATTGTGACAAAAAATAATACATTGCATCATACAAGTTTTTTTGTATACGATCATATGTCACTGAAAAAAAAGCATACGAATTGAATGTACGATGCAAATACAAGAATATTTCAATGAATCGAAGATATATTTTTTGATTTTATTTCAATAAATACATCTCTATACATTATACATATATGCTATCTGTTATACAGAAACGAAACCTTATAATCAAATTGTTTTTCATTCATAATACGTTTTCTTACGCAACATCATCCGTAACTGGTGCAATTCTTTGAAATTCTTTAATTGTAATAAAATGAAGTGAAAGTGAGATTATATGATATGTATAAAGAGCTGAATCAAATACTTTTGACAGTGTAATAATGAATATAGTGAGAAGGGTGTGAATGTGAGTAGACAGAGTAAACAAACACATCACCTACACTCACTCTCACACTCAAATGCAAGTGAATGTACGCGACAAAAAAGAGAAATAACTGATGAAAGTGGTCGAAGATGGGTTAATAACTCCACTCATCCGATGATCAGATATCAGAACATTTGATTCGTTTTAACGGTAAGATGTTGTTAGTTTCATGATATACAATAATGGAAGAATAAAACAAACTGAAAAAAAAATGCTTGTCGATTACATCATCACCACCTAGCCAGATAATGATTTTCTGTGTTTTTGTGTCGTTATTTCTTTCTCTGTTTGTTATCGTCAGCTTTTCTTTCCATTCTTTTGTAAGCATCCAAAAAAATATTATAAAAAATTACACAAAAAAAGATGCAGGTTACAAAGTAAATCTGTATATTTAGAAAAGATGATTGATCCGATGAATGCATTAGCAATATGTCGTTGATGGGGAATACACATGGTATAAATTGATCACTAATTTCGAACTTGTTCACTCTTTTGCAACTATTAATTATTCTATATTATCAGTAGTAGTCCTAATTCATATTTTTATTTTCTCATCCTACCGCCAGGACAACATAATATCATTTCGATACAATAGTAATTATGTTGGTAAACTAGATGAGACATTCTATAAACAATTTGGATAAATTTTCCAAGAATATTATGGATGACAGTATTTACACTCACATTCCAACATATATTCTTTTCATATTCAAAACAATTTTATTAGACGTCTTAGTCAATTATTTAATATATTGTATAAATAAATGAATCCTATCAGTTTCATTTAATTTGTCTTTGTTTTCTTATGAAAATAGATAAACGAAAAATCTTTGAAGCTAGTTTGCATTTCGATGATATGTAATAATTACACAAGTGAAAATAAATATCTTCTCACATATTATAAAAGAAAAGAGATAGGGCGAAAGCATCACATGGTTTAAGATTAAGCGCGAAGTAAATAAAGTGGTACATTAAATAATAGAATAAGGCGAACAGATGTCCTAAAAGAAGTTTGATAAAGTGAAAGGTGAAGTAAAGGTAAATATATTGAAGCATCTTAGATAAAAGCAAATTAAGAGACAAACATTAATATACAGCTTCATCATATGACAAAAGGGGGGTAAAATGGATAAACATTTAGCATATTAGATAAGAGAAAAGGGGGAGCAGCAGTATTACAGAATGTTGTATATAAAGTGATGATGAAGATAAATTAATTTAATATAACAGAAACAATATAAGATTGAATACTAGTTAAGATAAGATATTCATCATTCTTTCTGTATTTTTATTTTCAATTATGAAATCTAAAATTTAATATAGAAATTCTTGTTTTTATCGTTTAGACATACAACTGATTTTAATTATGTTTTATATACCCAAATGTGTTTCTGTTGCATATTTGTAAAGATATTTAAGTTTCCATCTAGATTTAACTCACCGACTGAGTTTATAAATATGTTGTTTTCATATAAAAACTCTGTAGAGGCATTGTGAGCATCCAGAAAATCTATATTGTTGATTTTCATTATAAAACTTTCTTCATATAGGTATAAGGAGTACCTTATAATCCTCACAGCTTACATATGAATGGTATATCGGACCCTTGTAAAGTATTGAATGTCGAAAGCATTGATAGCATTAATGAGAAAATGTACCGAAAATATAAAAAAAACAATGATAGATTTAAATCCCTCGATTGCGATAACCTTTAATCAAATTTTATAAAATATCATTATTTTTGAATATGCCAATCTAAACGATGCCTTGTGCTCTTTTCTTTATTTATATATTGATATTTATCTTCATTTTCAGTACACTGCACTTTGATCAGATGATTTTAATCGATTGACCTTCTCACTAAATAATGGCATTAAATGATATTTTTCACATGATGTGGCATTTTACTGTATTAGGTTACTGGATGTTTCGAGTGCTATATAATATACGAAGAATATTCAGTAGCTAAGCGATTTCTTTTGAAGAAGAAAAGTATATACATATACTAAATCTTCTACAGCTCTATATTGGGCCTGAAATCGTCGCAATGAATGTGGGTCGTACATTTCTAATTCTTATTTCGTTTTAGATAGATTTCTTTATGAAATAAAATCAAATCTACCAAGATGAAGAACACTGATGAATTGGAATTGGAAGATACTGTCATGAATGGTGATCAACAGGAATTACATTTTCGAACAAGAATGAAGGAACATCCAGCGAAGAATCGGTAAATATTTTTAGAAACACAATTGACCAAATAAAATATTTGTTCCAAATTTTGAATTATTTTTAGGGCACGATCGTCCAATGGATTTTTTACCACTAAGATGAAGTTATTTTGCACGGTTTCGGCACTTCTCTTCATTATTGGTGCTGCTACTACTGTAGTTTTGATGTCTCATCGTGCATCAAAAATGGATAAAACCATCACTTTCGATGAACAAGGTACGATAATTTAAATGAATCAGAACTGTTACAGTAATAGATTTTCGAAATTTAAAATATAATAAAACTTTTAAGGGAAAAAGATACTATTTGTAATCGATTTTGTTTATCTATGAGATAAAAGTGGTTAGTTTACGAATTTATTATGAATAATTGTTTGTTGTTTTATTCGACTTCTTACGTTATGATTATTAATGATTTTTTAATAGATGAAACAAACCAATCAAATGACTGGAATAGCGATAATTTAGATGAAGAAACATCAGATGAATTTATTGATGATGAACAAATTCCGAAATTACGATCATATAATGGATATGCAGTGAGTATTGTTATCTTTACATTAAATTATATATATTAATTCTTTATATTAGAAATCTCGATCATCACAAAATCTTGGCCATACAAATGTTTATATTCGAGAAAAAAAAGGAAAATCATCACAATCCATTCGTTTTCCTGCAGCTCGCTATAGTAGACGTGGAAATCGTGTGTTTTATTAGATTTATTATTTATTCGATCTAATTGTCTTTCTTTTTTTTTGTATAGCATTTAGGGGCTCTCTGATAAGTTTTATGCCACGAATCCCAATATTTGCTGATCGACTCACAAAACAAACAATTATTTTTTCTCCTACAGGAGGCGGTCAGTAATAATCTTTTGAAAAAATTCTGTTGAATTATTATTTTTTATTCTAGTCTATATTTTACCTCCATTGATCAATTTTTATGGTAAAATGTTCTCGGTTGCTGAACTAATTGCATCTGGTTATGCAAGTTTAGTCAGTAGTGGTGTTCCACCGCCTATAAATGGTCCTATATTTCCTTCTTTCTTTCCACAACCTTGTTAGTTGCTTTATTTTTACTTATTTTAATTAATAAATTTTGTTTTATTTTAAATAGTAATTGGTCCAAATGTTCCAGTATTTGATCGACACAGAGGTGGTTTTAAAGGTGGAGTTCGTACTAAATTTCGTTCTTTCTCCATGCCCAAAAACTATGAAAAACATTCGGAGGTAAATTATGAATCAGAATCAGAAGATGAAGAACAAGAAGAGAAAGAAACAGAAGAAGTTTATGATAATGAAAATAACAACGATCGATATCGTCCAGATTCATATGAAACGCGCAAACGACCATACAAGAGAATCAAACCTCCAAGTAATATATATGCTCATTTTAGAATTCAATCGATTTGAGGATGTGGGTGTAGGTATGAATGTGAATATAAGATTAATACAATATCTACACCAACACCCACACCCTCTACTATAATATGTGTGTCAATATTTAAAAGATGAATTTCTATGATGATTTGTTTTTACAGGAACAACTACTACGTCAACCAAGACAACTACAAAATCATCCAAAAAAACTAAGTTAACTACCACGACTGAACCAACTACAATGACTGAAACAACTACAATGTATGATCCAATTGAACAGGATAAATCGATTCTAACAAAATGTCAATCAGATGAGAAACATCGTAAGCATATTTATATTTTGTTTTCATCACTGATGTCAATCTTGAGGGTGTGGAATGAAATAAATACCCACAGCCACACTCCCATCCATCCACACCCACACACCCACCCTAAGATGACGCATGTAACTTGAAGATTTTTTTCTTTTTTTAAATCTTTTTGTCATTGACATTAATAATTAGTATAAAAAAGATTTGAGCGAAATATGAATGTATTCCTATAACGAGTAGTTATTCTAAGAAAACTGCTAAATTATTATACGTGTTAAAATATCTTAATGATCTGTTCAAGATTATTTATCGATATATTTTAGGTATTTTCGGTCACACTCATAATAGAAAATCACGACATGAGAAGAAAAAATATCTGATTGGAAGATTAAAAACACTAACGAAGGCAGATAAAACACAAGCTCATACTCGATTGAAAGGTACTTTTGTCGTTCAATTTGCGACGGACAGTGCTGACAAAGATCATTTCAAGAAAATTACTGAAGCTTTAACAAAAAATGATCAAACGCGTAGTTTATCAATTGAAAAGCGACTAGAATTTGAAACAGAGTTTTTTCGTGGTGTATCCATTACTGTCAATAACGAAGAATCTCTTCATGGTCTTGCAGACATCGAAGATTTTATTGAAATTTATTCTGTTAGTCGTATTCGTCGTCCAAATCTAGCGAACCATGCAATATCATCAAATAAAGCCATCAGTGATGGCATTCGATCCATCACTCCTCACCGTGCATCAGGTGTTTCCGAAGTTCATGAAAAATTAAAAGATTATGGTAAAGGCGTTCGGGTAAGCAATTTTAAGCATCATGAGGGGGTGGGTGTGGATAGTATTATGTTAAACCCACACTCTTTAATACTGTTATAAACTGAAAATGATTTCTTTTATTTTTCATAGATAGGTATTATTGACACTGGAATCGATTATAAACATCCAGCACTGGGAGGTTGTTTTGGAATAGGATGTAAAGTTGCAGGTGGTTATGGTAAATAATTAGATCAAACATTTCGAAGAAGAGAAATACTAAAATAAAATTCTTTTCAGATTTGGTTGGAGATGCTTATAATGGTGAAATTAGCACGGCAGTACCTGATGATGATCCATATGATGATTGTCCTACCGATGGTCATGGTATTGCTTTTTTTTATTATAGTTGTTTGATTGATTCTATCAATGATATAGGTACACATGTCGCTGGAATTCTTGCAGCAAATGCTACGAATATTGATGAAGCATTTTATACTCCTATTGTACCCTTTGTGGGTGTTGCTCCTGAATCAACAATCTTAGCATGTAAGTTTACTTGATCTTTTTCATTCAATACTCATTTCTGTTATGTTTTTCTCTTCTTTCATTTTAAAGATCGTGTATTTAGTTGTTTCGAGTTTACGACATCAGGTAAACCGAGCTGCAAATATGTATTTATCATATACTTATTTACAAAACTATTTAGATATTATCGCGAGTGCAATTATACGTGCTTATCTAGACAAGGCTGATATAAGTGAGTGTTTCTGACTGATGTATTATCTTTTTATATTAAACATGATCTATTGTTGATGGATGTGGGTGGGTGTAGGTATGAGTGTTTTTATTCTTATCATTAATTACCCATATCCTCTTTAAATTAAATAATTTTTATTATGACTATTATTTATTTAGTAACGATGTCTATCGGAAGTAATTTTCCTTATCTTACCGATATTGGCACATTAACTGTTGAATACGTGATCCAAATGGGAGGTAATAATTCATTTATACTTTTCAATATAATAATGACAAATTCCTTATAGTATATATGACAATTGCGGCTGGTAATTCAGGAACTAATGGTCTTCTAACTAGTGGTGATCCAGCGATTGCATCACATGCGATATCTGTTGCTTCAGTTGATAATGTTAATACAATTAGCTTCAAAATGATTGCACCTAATGGAAAAATAATTTATTATCGAACTCAACCTCCTTTTGCTAATGAACAATCAAAATTTGAGTCTAAAATTGTCGTAAATGGTTAGTTGGAACTTTAATCATGATATCAAATCAATCTTCTTTAATCATACTTATTTAGATCCTAGTCGAGGAGTTAATGATGGATGTAATGGACTAAAAGTATCAGTCATTGATGCTGTCGTCTTATTTGCTTACAGTCTTGACGACACATGTTCCATCTATGATCGATGTAACAATGCAGCATTGTATGGAGCACGTGGCTGTCTTACAGATAGATCTTTGTATTTCCCAGGTTTTCTTTCTTTTTTTTCCCATTCTTTTTCGTTTTAATCCATATTTTCTTTTAGGTCTGACGACTATTCCAACTGGAAGTATTACCACCGAAGATAGTTTGTTCATTATTGCAACGGTAGCTAAGGATCCTACTGGTATATTTAAATTTACTGATTCAGCCAAAATTACTCCAGTGGTAAGTAGTTACAAAAAGTATTTGAAAATATAATTAATTTAAGACATTGATTAACTAATAAAGACTCTTTGAAATAAACCTTTCTAGTCAGCTCTCCCCTAATGAATCCTCAAGAAAACTTCATTAAGGAATTACGACAGAGATTTGCGAGAGAGCCAAAGGTACATTGAACTTTTTTTAATTATTATTTTAAAACTTTATTTTATCAATTTTCTTTTATCTTCTGCATAATAACTATAATACATTAAAAATTATCATATATAAAGAATAAAATGTGTTTATTTTTTCAATTTCTTTCAAGCCAACAGCCTTAACACCTTCTTTTTTTACCTCGAACGGATTGCGATACGATCTGGAATTCAAACCAGATATTAGTGCTGTTGGTGGATTTGTTTACTCGACTTTATCTACTGCCGCATCAGAAAATTTAAAGTTAACTAGTGCATATGTTACTTATTCTGGTACAAGTATGTCAACACCTTATATGGCTGGGTAAGTTTTTGTTCATACTGTATAAAAACATTGAAATCAGTAGTTTCATACATTTTATTTTAAAGTTAACAAAATTCTTTCCTAGTTATTGACTATATACTATAGAAAAAACGGATTCTGTCTGTAAATAGTAGCTTCTATGTCTTCGTTCTATCTTATATTTGAATTGAATCAATCTCAAAATACAAATTAAGATATTTGCATATTCAATATAACTAAAGACTTTAATTCGTTTATACTCTTCTTTGTGATACTAAATTAATGGGTGGGTTCGGGTGTTCTTTTCATTCAATACCCACATCCACACCTTCAAGATGGTGTTTTTCGAAACTGATAGAGTAGGAAAAATAGCCAGAAGAAATAATTAATTAAAAAGAGGCTAGATTTTAAAAATACTCATCTCAATGATTATTAATTTTCTTTATTATTATTCTTATTTTTAAAAGGGTTTTGGCACTTTTTCTATCTCATATTGGTAATCCGGCTCCATCAACTGTTAATGGTACTTCACCTGATGGAAAATGTCGTCCTAAAGCTAATTTTGTTCGAGATCTATTTCAATCGACGACCACAATTGTAAAAGAATACAATTCTTCTCTTTTCGCTTCTACTCTTCGACAAGGCGCTGGATTAGTTGATGCTATTGACGGTATTACTGCTACAGCTATGTTTTCTCCAAGTAAACTTGGACTTAATGATACTGTAAGACAACACAAATCATACACTGTTCATTTGCTCAATATTGGTGATAAATTAGCTCGATATAGACTAAGTCATCGAGGAGCTGCAATGGCCACTGGAAAACAACCAAACAATGACCTGTTGTTAGCAGCACCATTGTATTCTCCAGACTATGCTGTAAGTCTTTCATTGAAAATTAATATGTTGTATATCTAGAAATATGAGATTACCAGTTAATACAAATATTTTTTATCTTGATTGTTAGTTAATTTGATATTTTACAGTATAAGAATACATATTAGAACTGACTAGAAGAAAAAAAATTAATCGATAATATTTTACTTTATATTGAAGGATGTTGATATTGAACCACGTGAATGTGAAATTCGACCAGGAAAATCACAAAGAATAACTCTTCGATTTACAGCACCTAAGAATGCAGATCCATCTCTTCTTCCATTTTATTCAGGTTTTATTTATGCTAAAAATCAAGATAATGGAGAAATTGTTCATATGTCATGTAAAAACTTCGTTTTATTGTACATTCTTATTCCTAAACAATATTATATTTAGATGCTGGTGTTGTCGGTGATTTCAAACAAGCACGAAAACTTGTCCGACAAACGCCATCGGGTATTATAACAGGCATTCAAGATGCACACGGAAAATATGTCACTGATGGAGAAATACCAACTTTGAATGTCACAGAAGGAGCAACAATCGTATTAGTGCTTGCATATGCAACGTCGATTGCGTATATAGAAGCTATTGCACCCGTAGATAATATTCTACCGGGTTATGATATCAAGTAATATACTTAACAGGAGATTAGAAAACATTAATATTTTCAAAATATATCTAAAATCCACATTAAGTTCAATAGTTAAAAGTCATAGAAAAATTCCTAATATAAATCCTCGAAGAGCAACAAATTCCAAGGGTTTTGAATAATTGGAATTAGTTTGACGATTCTGATTAGAAGAATTGAATCAAACAATCATTTTCTTCTAAAAAAAGTGCTTATTATTCAAACTTTTACAAAAGAAAAAAAATTAGTAATTATCGATCTAAAATGTTTCCATTGTATATATATTCTTCAACAAACTGATTTATATACCTCTCATGAATACAATACGGATCCACTGATCATTTACTTTTTCTTTTGAGTATTCGCAGCAAATTCTCTAAATTGTCATTATCGTTTGATTAATGATTTGATTGTTTACTCATAGTTATGGTCTATTGTTCAATAATTCTGTTGGTCCGTTTTACGGTACTGATTGGCCTCGAAATGCCGATGTCAAAATAGAAACTGATTATTTGAAATCATATCCGTATCTCTGGAAGGGTCAAATTGCACAAATATTCTTTTCTGGTAATACTTCAATTATCTTCAACCAAAAACTTCCTCCTGGCCAATATAGAGTTCGATATTCGGCTCTTAAGAATTTTGGAAATTACAATAATTCTGATGATTTTGACGTTTATATTACACCAGTATTTAATTTGGTTTATTAATTCAATTCAAAAAATATATTACTTGATTTCTATTCAACTTTTCTTATAAAAACGTTCATTTTTCTTCATCATAATAAATAAAAATATGAAATAAAATAATTTTAGGTGAATATAGAGCATTAATCGTCATAAAATGTAAAATATATTAAATTTAGTCAAAAAAAAGCAATTAATAATGAATGTTGATTTCTTGACTAATAAAATTTGGTGTATTTGATATGTGGATGACGAATGAAGCATTTATTAATGACCTTTTTCGTTAAAGGAAATGTAAATGTGCGCTTCTCATTTTTTTTTATATCGTTATTTGGATTCATTACATATATTTCGTTAAGGTAAAAGGCAATAATCTGTGTATCAGTGATCGCGGTAATAAAGTAGTGTACTTCTCGATTTTATAGAACTCTTTCAATTGTAGAACATAGTCCTGAGAAATGTTTTCAACTAACATAAATAGTATAAGATAAATCAACAAAAACAAAATAATATATCAATTACAGCTCTCAATTTTCTAATTCCTAGATTTTTTTCTTTTTCTTTTCTTCACGTTTTACATTACCTTCGACGGTTCTATTCATCATAATCTAATCTATTTTCACTTTTTTTTCTTTTCTCACTTATATATTGGATGGGTGAGTATATATACATTAGTTGACGATGAAATGTTGTGCAGGCCTGTTATTCGTCGATTTTTGCGTTGCAATAACTATTTATATTTAATTTGTCTCGGTATCCTTTACTTTCTCTTTTCTTTTTCTTTTTAATGTGTCGTTTTTGTAATGTTCTGCTACATACAAGCGAGGTCATTCGTCGTCAAAACGTTACAGAAAGACTTTATTCTTTTAGAATATTCCCTTTGCAGTAGGTTGGACAATAAATAAATAAATTAGTACGTCATCATTCTTTGAATAACATAGAGATTTCATTATCTGCATGACTTTCATTATATTTTTTAATAGATAAAAAATGAATTATGATGCTATGTTTATTTTTTCTAGATTCTCTTTTATGGCGGAATCCTGTCCTAGACCTAAATTCGCAAAGATTGTACTCGGTATTGGATGTTTTTTCCTTGGTGTTACCGTTGTTTGTTTTTTAGCTGGTGGTCCACTCTATCTTCAAGAGTATAATAAAATGCGATTCTATGTGAAGGATTCATGTCGTGTTCGATCAGCGGGCTATGATAGAAACGATAAATGCCCTGGAGAAAGTGGGACGAAATCCCGAATATATAGAGTGTGCTATATAGCAGTTTGGCATGTTGAATTTGGTCCAAATAGAATATTTAAAGCAACTATACGAAGCGACAGACATGGGTCTTATCAATCCGTAGACAGTACATCTGAAAAATATAAGGTATGTATCGAGAGCTCAATGTAATCTTGAAAACATTCAAGTATGTCTTTATTTGAAGAAGGCATCTCAGATTTTTCCGTATCACTTTCTCCATAGTAATTCAATATAATTTTACTTTGAATACTCTCTTTCATTTAGGCTGGTTCTTCGTATCCATGTTGGTATAATTCAAAAAAACCATCGCAAGTAACATGGTATGGTCCAGTCACTATTTATTCTTTCATTTTACTTTTAATTGGTGCAATATCAATTCCATTTGCCATCATTTTTTTGATCGCTTTCTGTCGCCTACGAACTCGTGCTGATTTATAGAACCAATTTGTATCATTTTATTATACTGCACAACCTAACCGACTATTAAAAACATCTTGAGGGTGTGAGTAATGAGTGAGAAGAATCCTTCATATAATTGAAAGTATCGTAAGGATGTGAATGAAATTATGTCTTCTTCATCCTCATACTCAACCTAAAATATTATTTTAACGTATATGATCATAACTTTATAATTTCAATAAACAACAAGGTTTCTTCTTGATGATAAGATAACCTGTTAACAAACATTGGTTACCTGAAAGAAAGTTTCTATCTTTGACAAACAAGTTTTGTGTTTATCATTATTCTCCTTTTCATTTCGTCTGTTGATGGCTTTGCGTATAGTTTATATTCTTATTTTTTGCACCTTTGTCGTTTATACGACAATTGATGGTAGAATAATTCCAGACGATCCAATTGATGAAATAGTAAATGAACCTACAAATATAAATGAAGAAACATTTTCTACTCTTATGAGTTATCGAAAACGTTTCGAACATTCAAATAGTGTGAGAGAACTTCAATGGATGTTTCAAAAATATAATGATCCACCAGAAGTATATTGTAAAGTATGTCATGTACTTCTACCTATTGTAAGTAAAAAAAAGACTAATTTTCATCTTAATTTAATTATATACACACAATTTAGGTGCGAATACTTATTTATGCTAATCAAACTGAACGTATAGAAGAAGCAGTTCTAAATGTTTGTGAAGAATTTGGATTGGTTCTTGAAGTTTGTAGTGGTGCTGTACATGAATATAAAGTAAAAGATTTTTTCAATTAATGTCATTCACTTGATCTATTTATTTGTGAATAGGATGTTGTTTTTCAAGTCATTGCTTTAACAGAATATAATGATAAGACATTATGTGGAATTGCTCTGAACTGTGATAGACTAACTGATTTTCCTGCTTTGAATTGGACTGTACCAGTTCCTGATGGAAAACCATCTCCACAACCACCAAAACCTCCTTCAGTAAATGTGTATTTAATTGAAAGAATATCTTAAACAGTATTTCTAACACTTTAGCCTAGTTCACCAAAACTTCAATTACTACAATTGGCTGATATTCATGTCGATTTTGAATACAAACCAGGCACAGAAGCAGCTTGTCTTGAACCATTGTGCTGTCGA